ATCGACAGTTTCGTTCATGGTTTATTTCACTTGACTGAACTTATTATTTCTTATTTAATTTACGTTTATGATTAGAAAAAACAGCACTTTTATTGACCTTTTCCAAACAGTACTTTCGCTTAATCACGTAAACGTGTTTGTAAGCGTATAATTAGTTGCCTTAAGTTTTGTATCACGTGTAGAAAACTTAAAATATTTAATTAATTTCTGCTCGCAGAATTAATTTTTTTATTTCTGATAGACCGTAAACCTAAGTAATCGGCAGAATACGTTTAGGATTTTTAAAAGTGCGCCGTTCTGCTTTTCGTTTCATTGTTTCGTATCCTGTGGATTCCACACTCACAACCCCAAATAATGATTATATTACTGATGGGTGTTGCTGGCTGTGGCAAAACGCTGATCGGCAATAAGCTGGCTGTGAAGCTCGGGGTACGTTTCATCGACGGGGACGATTATCACTCGGCGGAGAACGTGGCAAAAATGCAACAGGGTTTACCGTTGACGGATGAAGACCGTCAGCAATGGCTGATATTGCTAGCATCCAAGTTAGCCTCCCACTACAAGGACGAAAGCTCTGTGGTGATGGCCTGTTCCGCCTTGAAACGGTCTTACAGGAAGATATTGGCCAGTCGATGTCCGTCGGTTTGCTTCATCTTGCTCAAGGTGCCGTTTGACGTCGTCAGAGACCGCATACAAAAACGCAAAGATCATTTTTTCCCAGAAAAGCTGTTGCAAAGCCAATTCGACACGCTGGAGATACCGACGGCGGACGAGTGCACGATGGAAATCGACGGGACATTGGAACCCGACGAAATTGTCAAACAGATTATTACCCTCGCGTATGACAGAGACTTGTTGAAAAGAGATATTGATGGATATTTTAGTATATGACATTGTAAGAAGAGGCCCCCAGATCATTTGAATCAGGGATTTATTTCAGAATCGTTCTTTGAGACATCTGTGCCATATATGAAGACTAATGTTCAAAGAGATTTTAGTCAGAATTTTAATATGTATAAATTGTGATAAATTGTACTGATTTCAGGCGAAAACACTGTAAGCAGCCTTTTCAGATATCTAAATAATTGCATATTCAAATTAAGTAGCAAAATTGTTCACGTATCTCGTAGTTGATGGCGACTTACCACTGTAGAGGTAGACAGTTTGATTGAAATGCATGAGGATTACTCATATCTAAAACACCTTAGGCTCTAACAGCATATGTCACAGTGAAAAGTTTATCGGGGCAGGAATTCGGAAGCCTACTTGATTTTGGTGAAGTTTCCCGTCAGCTGTCTGCCCTAGCTTTTCCAGGACATTCCAGAAGTAAACTTTCCCAGGTGTTTTCACTAAAGTGACACCACGATAATTGGAACAGTCATTCATTCGACTCCCTTTAAATATAAGGACAATTTCTTCACACTCCCATTTTCCTGGGAAACGTTTATGGGTTCACATTTTATGAATCCATGCATGGAGTTTTTTATCATTCCCATTCTTGCATATCTAACTGCTGTGGTATTTAATTCGGCCCTCTGGCATTCTTCCGCTTCAAGTGTAGCAAAGTTTTATGGATTTCTAGTTTTGTGGGTAAATTTTTACTAATTTCTAGCGTTGGCAGAAAAACGGTGGTTGAAATTATGAATCTGGAGGGGCAGGCTGTTGGAAATGCCCAGCCTATTTTATGAAGCGTTGTTTGCCGATGAGACACCGTTAGATTCTTAGGTAAGGACAGTGTAAGTCGCATGCTTACCGGAAAACTGTTACACTTGCAACTGCTGCACTTTTAATACTGTACGCCACTTACCCCTTGGTAACCGTCTCTTCGTTCTTCTTTACCTCCCGCTCTAATCAAAGTCCCCTGTCTGACCTGTAGGTCTGGTTGACTGCACGTTCAGCAATGAGCTGCCTTCGAGAGTGCAGTAGGGTGTTGTAAATACTGATTATTGCCCAGATTCGTTTGCATTCTAAGGGTTACGGTCTCACCTGTCTGTTGTCACCTACCCCAGGCTCTTCTACAGAACTCAGCTACCTTTTTCGCTGAGGAACTGACGGCTTCTTTGAAGTCTTTGTAATCTTCATCGACGTTGCTACTTCTTTACTTGGCATTAGGGTAAATAAATTCTCGACGTTTGGTTGGTCGAGCCTCCCACTTTTTCATATTTTAGCCTGTCAAGTCAAAAAGCTGATGTGTTTCAATCATAGAACATTGAGGTGATACGGGTAATTTTAGACGAAGTTTTTCCGCGACTGTTTGGTGGTCCGACTCAATGCAGACGCCACGCCTGACATAAATCCAATGCGCCATTTCCGGTTTATGAGGAGGTGGCCTAACTGACTGTCGGTTCTCATCAGCTGTGCAACTCATTTCTATTAAAATAACAAATTCTCCGTCGCTCGCTAAAAAATCATTCTGACAGTATGAAGAATAAACGTTTTTGTTGCGATTGTTAATCGTCTTGATTCATTGAACTGATCGTTCTGTAGGTCTTGGTAGTGTCTATTTACTGTCTTGGAATCCAGTGTCCATTTTCTCTTTGGTTCAGAGACTGTCGGTTATTCTTGCAATATGGCACTTTCCCATTGCAATTTCAACTCTATCCCTCGTGCAATCGCATCGCAGACTCTTGCTTGTGCTCCTTTGCACTGATTTGTCTTCTAATCTTTTCTAGTCATTTGCAGCATATACCTGCCCTTGCTATGTTGCGTAGATTACAGCTTATGAATAGATTTAAGATCTGCGGTTCAGGTGCCTTCTTATGCCGTCGTTACTAACATATCACCTCCGCGTGCAGAAAGCTCGTTTATGAAACGGCATAACCCCCAGAAGAATGGTGTCTTATCATGGCACGTCTGGCCTGCTACAGTTTGATATCTTCAGTACGCTTGAACTCGCTGTTACCAGCCAGTTGTAATAATACTTTAGTTTAAATTCATTTTAAGTTTGTTACATCGATATAACCGTAGTGCAAAGCTAATGGAAGTAATTACACCAGGTTATAATATGACGTAACGCAGCCTTACCTCTTGAAGCCTAGAGAGATATTTAGGCACGGTAATGCTAGATGTTAAGGGTCATTTATCAGTCTCTGTCTCAGATA